TTTTAACCTACTTTTGGTAATCCTTCCCAGGAGGTTCATACAACTTATTGAATATACTATCAATATTAATATGATAATACAAATACCATCTGTTCATTATTATTTACCTATAGGTCAATCTAATAAATAATCAGACTTTTATTTTTTATTATTATTTATTAATGAACGTTAGGCAAATAATAATGAAAAGATAATTTAGAAAATAGGTCAAAACTGAAAAATAGCTGTATTATCAATTTGAACTCAAGCTGTTTACATTTATTTTCCAATAAAATATATTTCAAATTACAATATATTTAATTAAATAATTAACTTACAAATAAAAAATATATTTAACTAAACTCCAAATAAACTTTGAATTTCATACAATTAACCAAACACAATTTCAAAACATTACACTTTACTTTATTAAGCCTTATTACTAAAATTTATCAAAACCTGTACCACTACAACCCATGAAGGGTCTGGGGTTCAGTACTATTTAGGGAAAGTACTGTTTCTAGGTCAACGGTTGTGCAAGGAGGTGATTTGACCGAGATCACGCTCAACCGCCAGGTTTTCCCCCTTAATTGATTATTTAATTAAGGGTACCCACTTTATAGAGGCTGGGTGTGCCCCAGGAGGGTCTCCCGACCCAGGGTCGCCCCACGACCAATGAAACAGATAAATAAATTTTCTGCCATGAGCCAGGGTTCGAAACTGGGACCTTTGCATTGTGAGTTCAGTGCTCTCCTACCACTGAGCTACCCCACTCCCAAAATTTATCAATATTAATTTAAATTCTAACTAAACATCTATCTTTAGAATATGTTTCATATATTGGAAAGTGAAAGTAAAAAGAAGTTCAACTAAAAGTGAAATTATTTTAAAATCTCGTCTCTATTAATGAATTATCAGAAATAATAATTTATAAAATTTTTAATAGATTATAAAGTTTTAATATTCCAATGGTTACTACTTACTCTTTTTAATAATTGTAGTATGGTAACTACAGACTTCAACTTAAATAATCTGGAATACTTAGGATAGAGAAACTTAATAGTGCTCATAGAGGTATCATTACATAAGCATCTCGCCTTGCATTATATAAGCTTGCATAAAATAAAGTGAACACAATTTCAAAATATTACACTTTACTTTATTAAGCCTTATTACTAAAATTACTAACATTAATTTAAATTATAATAAAAAATTTATCTTTACAATAGATTTCATAAAGTGATAAGTGAAAGTAAAAAGAAGGTAAACTAAAAATAGAATTGTTTTAAAATCCAGTCTCTATTAATGATTTACCGGAAATAATAATTTATAAAATGTTAGATAATAAAGTTTTAAAATTTTACTGATGCCTACTTACTTTTTTAAATAATAATAATCTGGTAAGCTCCACTTGCTGGAGTTTTCAACTATGGCAATCTTGAATCCTCAGGCTAGAGTGGTAAATAATGCTCATTGATGTACTATTAGATAAGATTCAAAGCATGGATCTTTATCTCTATAAGCTTAGGAGTTGTTTAAGGATAGTTCTGGATTTTGGGGTACTCTGGTTATTCCAGAAGTTCTGATCAAAGGTTACTCCTAGGTTTTGGACTGTTGGTCGGAAATGGTTGGGACAGTTATTGACGTAAACTAGAGAAAATTAAGGAAGGGAAACTGATGAGGATAGCCTTAGTTTTATCTGCATTCAGCTTCAATTTTGTATTGCTGCCCATCTAAGAATATATTAGATATCTTCTTATAGCTTTTGAGTAGCCTCAGACATTTCAAAAGACTGCAACGATTGGTAAATTTTGAAATCATCAGCATAAAAGTGATAACGAATGATGAATTTGGTCAGGAAGGTCGCAAATAAAAAGAGAAAAGGGACGAAGAGAGTGAGGAGCCCTGAGGAATATGTTAATTGAAGGGAATTTTTTTAGGAATGACAACTGTCTGAGAGCGATAGGATAGAAAGAAGAGGAGCCATTTTAGAACACTATTTGATATGCGTAGGCATGGGAGTTTGAAAAAAAAAAAAAGGATATTATGATTGATAGGATCGAAGGCTATTGAAAAGTCAAAAAGGATTAAGATAGAGATTTTCTGTTTAGCTAAGGCGGATTGTAGGTCATTAGTAATCTTTAGCAAGGCAGATTGGATAGAATATTAGTAACAGAAACCAGATTTTAAAGGATCAAGGAGACGATTGTGATCGAGAAAGTTATTCAACTGAGAGTGAACTAATTTTTGCAATAGCTTAGACAAATTGGATACAATATAAATGGGTCTGAAGTTAGATGATGATGGTGAAGCAGGAACTTTCTTCAATCGTCAGATGATGACTTTTTTCAAGCGTTTGGGAAAAGAATTTCGGAGAAATCATGTAAATGAATGAAATGAAAGAAATCATGTAAGTATAAAAGAGCAGGAAGCAAGGCTGGATGATTTTAACATGTATTTGGTCAGGACCATAGTTGTTGGTTTTGAATTTAAGGATGGTAGAGAGTAGGTCAGAAGGAGATATGTCAAGAAAATAAAATTTATAAGAATCAAAGAGAGTTTAAGTGATAGGTCAGATGAAAACACAGAAGGGAAATGATCAACAAAAAAGGAATTTAGTTCATTTGGATCAACTGGTCAGAGGTTCCTTAGGATTATCCCTTTGGATTTAGGGTTGGGTGCTTGTGATAAAACATTATTAATGTATTGCACTTTGTCATGGCATTATGATATCTAAGTAAGGTTTCATATGAAGTTTAAGATAGAATAATGCTGAGGCAGTCATGTACGACAGTAACATCTGGTAGTCTCTCTTCTTCTCATTAACTCTCTAATTTCTGAATTGATTCAGGGAGCACAAGGACGTTTAAAAATATGGTTTTAAGAGATATGTGATGATTTAGAAAATCAAGGTTAGAAGAAAGGCATTCCATCATGTCATTAATAGAAGAAAGGGAATAAATAGGTTCTAAGAAAATGGATAGATAATTACGAAAAGGACTGATGTTTTTGACTGTTAAGAAATCAACATTTTTCCAGGAAATTATTTTGGGAATAATTGTAGGGATAGAGATGTATGAGATTTCAATAAGATCATGAGACCAAAGGCAAGGAACAGGAATTAGTGAAGAGAATAATAGGCTTTGGGGGGAAATCTCCCATGAGCAATCAATGATAAATAAATTTAGCTACGTATGAGAGGACTGGGTGGGTTGAAAGGGTACAATAAATAGATCTAGAGAGACAACTAGTTCAATGAATCATGTTCTATCTGGTGAATCTGAAAGCAGGTTGGTGTTGAGATTACCTGAAATTAATAACATTAATATATTCAACTTAATTCTATTAATTTTTAAATGCCACAAGGGTGCAAGTTCCCCACCTGTTGTGACATATTTTATAATTCTAAGCCAATAAAATTTTTTTTATTTCAATGAGATTAGGTTATTACCATGGGATATTTTCTAAATAAATCATTTTCATATCTTATACTTTATATTCAAAATATTTATTCCCTTAAGATTAACAAAAAAACTTTTGAATTTCAATGATAAAAAACTCAGTGGAATCCTCTCATTAAAAAACTGAAGCACTCATTTTTAACTATATATATATATATAAACACATTATATTGCACAATATCTGTTTATAGTTGATTCTTTAATAATTATTTCATATGTTGCAAGAAGATAAATTCTTTTTTAAATGATACTGCATTTAGCCCAGATAAGAAATACATAAATAATCATCTAATTGGTAGTATTACTGATAGTAGAAATAAGATAAGTAAAAGTCTTGAGTGTGTTTACGGAATTAGGAAGGTCATTTATTTTGGAACTATTTACTTCATAGTTGTTAAAAACAACAAGTCTGACAATAAATCATGAGCAAGTGTGTCTGAAATGATTGCGAACCATGCTTAATCAGTGTGGAACCTTTGTGAACTAGTACCAAAACAACTTTAAAGTTCTATCATAAAATTTAAAAAAAAAAGAATTTCTTATTAGTTTCACATTATGCTGTACTTGAGTTGAGCAAATTTTATTTTTATTAACAAATAAATTAACTTTATTCACTATTCTTAATAATAAATTAATTAACTAGTTATTCACTAATTATGAAAATAATATTTTATTAAATGATAACGTGATTCTCAAAAGTAATGGAGAGTTATTAAAATCCATGGAAAAAACAATTTCCTCGTGAACAGAATTGAACTGCACTACTCGTCTTACATGTAAAATTAAAGTTCCCAGAATACAAGACACACTGTCATCGTGAAAAAACTTTATCAGATATTATTCCCAGAAAAATATAAAATATTTCTTACCTTACCGAATCAAAATACTTGATATTTTTAACTTCCAAAATTGCCACTGTTTCAACTAAATTTTAACACATAGATCTGCAAAAGCACAACCATTGTATGTCCACTATTTTATAAATTTCACTTTTTTAGCTTTAAGTACTCTCTTGTAGATGAACTATTGCAAACATTTTCTAAATCCTGGTGTAAATTAAAAGATTCTTTTGTTTTTACAATTTTAAATCTGAGAATTATGACAAAATAAACATATAATTGTTAAAGATAAATTTAATGATTAATTAGACATTATTTAGATAGGTATGTATAATATATAATTTATATTTTTATTTTTATAATACTTCATTAATGTGATAAGAAAAAAACATTTCTCAAAGGCTCATTGGGTCTTATCTTGGGAGATAATGATTCATAAATTTGAAATTTGTGAAAAACTTTTTGCTAATTAAATTAATTTTAAAGATATTTTATCTCTCATGTATTGAACTTTCTTAAAGTATATTGTCACAGCAATTTTGCTTATGAAATTATCAAATAACTATTCATTATAGTATTATAATTATTTGTTATCATGTAAAGATAATCTCTTCTAGGTCTTTGATTCTTACAATGATTAATAATTTAAAAGCCAGTTGGATATAAAATAATTATTTATTTAAATTTTTATTTTACAATTTTTTTTTTTAACAGATCTATTTTGTTTATAAATAGACACTGGTCTATTTTTTGAGCCATTCTTTGATTCCAGGAAGAGAGTGAACCTTTTCAGTCAGTTCTTTCCAAAAGGGATATTTCTCATTTAAATCCAACCCAATCGCACCACGTATAGATGAACTATGGCCGACAAAATACAGTTCAGCCCACGAGAGCTAAAAAAAAAAAAAAAATAAATATATTAAAAAATAAGTTTATTTTATATGCATTTGTAATCAATTTTAAGGATAATATTTAGATTTGGAACTCCTTTGTTGATATTTATCAAATCAAAACATAATAGCACCACCAACTGGTGCAAGGAAAGAATGTGAGAAATTGAATTTTTAAAACTAGTAGCTTTTATTAATTTATCAGAACTATTTTTGAATAATAATAAATTATGAATAAAAGTCTAGGACACAAAGTAAAAGTTGGTCTTCTCGAAAGTATTTTTCACATTTGTTACTGAAAAATGTTAGTGATTATCCTTTAATCTTATTCTATTAAATAGATAACAATGGGAACTTGGTGAAATGATTTTTGCTAAAAGTAAAATAATAATGAGTATATCTTTACAGCTAATAATTATATTTCAAACTTATTTATTATTATTCATCAATAGTTATTAAATAAAATATTTACTTTTCCATTTGCTAAATATCCTCCATTATTTTTCAAAATAGTTTCAAACTTAGACATGTAAAATGGAATTGTCTCATTAATAATGGTTTCCTTCAATTTTTCTTTCTCGTCTGGGTTTTGTGTTTTCCAGTATCTTGAAAACTCTGAAACAGAATGAACTATTTAATGATAATATATATATATATATATATATATATATATATATATATATATAATCAATGTTTCATCTTGAGAAAAAACTGATTTATAATCTTGTTTAGTGTTAACTGCAGAAAACTATACTGCTTTTGCTTCTACAAAACAAAATCAGTTTTTATAGTTTTTAAGAACAATGAAACACCACACTAAACACTTAATAATTTGAAACAATTGCAAACCGTACCACACAGTTATCCCCATCCAACATCATGTGTCATGTATTTATATATATATATATATATATATATATATATATATATATATATATATATATATATATATATATAAATTAAAATATAATAAAACTTAGTGATTAACCTGCAGCTAGGTCTCCATAAGCTCCAACAACCATATCAATTTCCAAATCTTCCTCAGCATTTTTTCCAGCCAAACCAGCCTGAGGTGCCAGATATCTTAAAATAGCGATCGTCTGATGAATGACTTTACCATCAATTTCTAAAAAGGGAACTTTGCCAAATGGTGTTTCTGTAATTCAAAAGTAATTCTGTATGAAGAATAAGGTCTGATGAAGAAATAGTTTTGGGAGGATAAGGAAGATCATTTATTTTAGGTTCTATGTACTCATTAATTGTTAAAAGAACATCATAATGATGTGAAGACGTTTGACTGAATCTAATTTCAGAAGTTAATTGGAGGTGCGGCCAATATATAAAATACTATATTACATAATAGTATTTTTTTATTAAATTATCTAACATTTCAACCTAGGTTATAGGTCTTCTTCAGGGCATTCCATCTGGCATTACCAATCTTCATATTGCTTCCAGCAGTGTCAGGTGGAACACCCTGAAGAAGGCCTACAACGTTGGTTGAAATGTTGGATAATTCAATAAAAAATACTATTATACAATATGGTATTTTATATATTGACCATTCCCCTGATTAACTTCTTCTGAAGTTAAAAAAACTGGTTCAATCATATCAATGTTGATAATAACAATAAAAAAGAGAGATTATATATGTTAAATCAGATTTCAGGAATTATAATTTGAATAACAAATAAATTAGTCAGCGTTTTATTTTAAATATTTTGTGCAAAATAAAAAAAATGAATACCACTTTAAACACATTTTGAATTAAATGTATGTACAATATATTATCATTCATCAGTAAATATAAAATTTCCTATTTTTTATTTATCAGTTATTTTTTTACAATTAAAATAAGGGTTTGATACAAAAGAAAGGATTTGAACTAGCTGAAAGTGACCCTCTCCCGACATTGACAGAAGTTCCATACACACACCAATTCGTTGTGCACTGTAATGTTCTTCAGAACATTCTAGGGGCTCAACATCAATTTATCAACTAAAAGCTATAACCCTAGAAACTATTGGAAAAGGATTCCCAAAAATAGAATGGCCCCATGCATATACTGATTTTTCTGCACTGGAAGCAAGCAAACATGACGGAGCTGGAGTTTATTCAAAGGAATTTCAACTTACCGTCCCAGTCGGAGGGATAGCCACAAACTTTGAAGGGGAAGTGAAAGCCATTCTCTTAGGCCTTGGGAGATTGGTTGAACAGAAACACAAGAAAGTTGCTTTCTTAGTTGATTCACAGGCATTTGTCACTCCAAAATGGATATAATATGAATGCAAATGTCCTTAAATACCATTTGTATTTGGAGCGATTAAAGGAAAATGGGACAAAAGTCGCTTTCCAGTGGATACCAGGCCATTGCGGGCTCTGCGGAAATGATGAAGCTGACAAACTGGCCAGAATAGGTTCTGCAATGATCCAACCAGATAATCCTCTGGGCATGGATTCAATTAAAAGAATAATAAAACAGGCCCAGAAAGTTTACTGAAGGAGAAATATGTGCAAAAAATTGAAGGAAAGCGATGCAGTGGATTGTTGGAAGAAAGTGGCAGGATCCCAAGAGACCTACCTAGAAGGCAAGCCGTGACATGCTTAGACAGGGCATGATTTCCTGCAGAATCACCTCCACGGCATCAGTATAAAATGGCCCAACATGTCCTCTGTGCTCCTTGGATATTATGACAGAAGAACATCTTGATACATGCCCTGCATTACAGGACATAAGATGTTTGTTTAGTGAAATGGACAGCCCTTATGCCAGGAAAGCAAATTTATATTGGACTGCAAGGATACGCATGTCTGATCAATTACTTAAGCATAGGAAAAAAATTAAAATATTGGTTAATTTATTTCCCATTCTCATTCATTTATCTCAGAATATTCCAATAAAAACTTTTATTACTTACTCTTCTTCAATTGCGACCATTCTTCAAAAGAAATGCGAATGTCTTGAAATTCTTTTCCCATATAGGACAATATAAATCTTATAGGTTCCCCTAATCCGCTAAAGTTAAAATATGTCAATTTATATTCTGTCATTTTCCTGAAATAGTACCAGAAATTTATTTCTAAAATAACATAAGCTTAAAAATTATAGAAACATTATATATGTCTAACATAACATAAAATACAGACATATAGGTCAACATAAATTATTAAAATATAAAATAGGAATTTACCAAAAATCTTAATTCCAAAAAAAAAAATATATATTAAGCAAATAATAGTGAAAAATAATATAGAAAAAAGGTTAAAACTAGAAAATACCAATTTGAATTCCAGTTTTACATATATTTTTTTATAAAATATGTTTCAAATTAAAATATATTTAACTAAATTCCAAATGAACTTTAAATTTTATACAACTACCCAAACATAATTTCAAAACATTACACTTTATTTTATTAAGCCTTGTTACTAAAATTATCAATATTAATTTAAATTCTAACTAAACATTTATCTTTACAATATGTTTCACACATTGGGAAGTGAAAGTAAAAAGAAGGTTAACTAAAAATAGAATTATTTTAAAATCCAGTCTCTATCAATGAATTATCAGAAATAATAATTTATAAAATGTTAGATAATAAAGTTTTAATATTTGATGATGGAAACTTACTCTTTTTAATAAATATAGTCTGGAAACTTCCACTAGCTACAGACTTCAACTTATATAATCTGGAATACTTAGGATAGAGTACTTGATAATGTTCATAGAGATGTGATTATATAAGCTGCTCCCCTTGAATTATATAAGGTCGCATAAAATTAACCAAGCACAATTTCAAAATATTATATTTTACTTTATTAAGCCTTTTTACTAAAATTTATATTTAATTACTAACATTCATTTAAATTCTAACTAGAAATTTATCTTTATAATATATTTCATACATTGGTAAATGGAAGTAAAGAGAAGGTAAACTTTAAATAGAATTGATTTAAAATTCAGTCTCTATTAATGATTTATCAGAAATAATAATTTATAAAATGTTAGTCATAGTACTCTGTTAAGCTCCACTACCTGGAGACTTCAACTATGGTAATCTCAAATACTCAGGCTTGAGTATTTAATTATTGAAATAATGATGTATGATTAGATAAGATTTACCCCCCTCTCACCCCTCCACACTAAAACTTATTGATCGAGTCTTATCATTTTTTATTTATTAATAATAAACAATTACTCCATCACCTGGTCTCTCATGGCTGAAGTCGAATGAATAGAAAAATTATTTAATTCTCAGACAATGTTAATTGTCAGACAATATGTTTAGACTTTATGTGCATTACTCTGAAAAAATATTTACAAAAGGATACTTGTCAATTTTATCTTAATATTGATTGTAATAATGGAAATAAAGATTGTCTATATTGGCGCAATGATTTGATTATGAAGTAGGTGAAGAAATAAGAGAGGAAAAACAGTAAATTCCTGCATATTTTTGAGGAATATAATGTAAACAGAATCTTAAAATTATTTAAAGAAAGTTACAGATATTCCTGCAATTTGAGAAATATGCTTATATAAGATTTTTCTACTGTTGAGTGATTTATATAAATTATGGGTCTATTATTGAATTAATTTAGATGACAACATGGTAAGGAATTAAGGTGCCTGGAACTGATCAGGATAGCATTGGTTTTTCAGCATTCAGCATCAAATCATTTATTACTAACAATGTTCTGATACTGTCAATACCGTTTGTAATTTTCAGCATTTCAGTAGAGCAGAAAGATGGAAATAATCACCATATAAAGAGATATTCTGAGCGGTAAATGGAATAAGGAAAGATCGTTATTATAAACAGAAAAAAGGATTAGTGGAAATGAAGAACCCCCAGGAGCTTTTCATAAGTCAAGTAGGAGTGAAAATTTCAGATAATTTTTAACAAAGCTGATTGAGTGGAATATTGAGATCGAAAATCAGATTTTAAAGGATTGAGAAAGGTTTGTTCTAGAAAGTTGTCTTTTAAGCTAAAAGTTAGTCGACTCTCAGCTTAGCTCTTTCCAGAGGGTTGGGAGCTGAAGGAGTATAGGAACTTTATTCAATGGGCAAACCATATTATCTCATCCAGACTTAAGAATTGTTTAAGGAAATTTATGGATTTTTGGAAAATATAGTTATTCCAGGAGTGGTTCTGATCAAATGTTACTTCTAGGTTTTTGACAGTTGGGAGAGAAATGGATGGGGTGGTTATTGATGTAAACTAGAGGAGAGCAAGGAAGGGAATTAATGAGGCGTCTGGAACCGATATTGATAGCCTTACTTTAATCCGCATTCAGCTTCAATTTATTTATTGCTGCCCATCTGTGGATACAATCAATATTCTCTTATAGCTTTCAAGTTACCTCAGGCATTTCAAAACATTTGAATGATTGATAAATTTGAAAATCATCAGCATAAAAGTGATGAATGGGGTCAGGAAAGTTGCTAATAAAAAGAGAAAAGGGTCGGAGACAGCGAGCAGATCTGAGGAACACCTTGTGTTAATTCAAGGAAATTTTTTACACATGACAGCTGCCTGAGAGCGATAATATAGAAAGAAGAGGAGCCATTTTACAACGCTATTTGATATGGGTAGGTTTTGGAGTTTGAAAAAAAAAAAAAAAGATATGAATGACAGAATCAAAGACTTTTGAAAAGTCAAAAAGGATTAGGATAGAGATTTTCTGTTTATTTATGGGGGATGGGAGGTCTTGGGTAAACGTTTTTAGAAATGACACTACATGCTAGCCCAGATAAGAGAAACATAAACAATTGTTTAATAAGAAGTATAACAGATTATAGAAAAAGACTGATTGAGCTCTATCTTAGCAGATAATGTTTCATAAAAATGAAATTTGTGGTACACTTTTTGTTATCAATTAATTAATTGAAGTGTTACCTCTCATTTATTGAAATTTGCTATAGTATATTTTCACAGTCACTTATCAAACTATAATATTATCAATTAACTATTCGTTGTAGTACTATAATTATTTTGTAATCATATAAAGATGATCTCTTTCAGGTATTTGATTCATATAATAATTCAATAATTTAAAAACCAGTATGATATGAAATAATCGTTTATTTATATTTTTATTTTACAATTTTATTATATATATATATATATATTTTTTTTTTTTTTAAGATCTTCTATTTTATTTAAAAAACAGTTACTGGTCTATTTTTGACCCATTCTTTAATTCCAGAAAGAGAATGAACTCTTTTAGTCAGTTCTTTCCAGAAAGGATAGTTCTCATCTATGTCATACCCAACCAAACCAGGTATAGATGAATTGTGGCCCACAACATACAGTTCAGCCCATGAGAGCTAAAAAATAAATTCATAACAAATATAAATATATATATCAACATTGCATATATATATATCAACATGTTTTTTTTTTTTAGATTGTTAGGTTGTTCGAAATTGTAGCACGATAAACATATTCAAGTTAAGTAAGTGAAAAATTATGTATGGAGAAGTAGTAGCTTTTATTAATTTAACAAAGCTATTTTCACAAAATAAAATCTTATGAAGATAAGTTTAGGGGTGGTTAAAAGAAAACTTGAAATTCTTTTTTGTCTCTTGAAAAGTAGTTTTTACACTAGACAATATACGCAGTGCTAATGTGTAAATCTTGTTTCATTAACTAGGTAAATGGTTCATCTTCAAATTGGTGAAATGAGTTTAATCTAAAAGTTAAATAATACTGCATATGATAAATTGTTAAAACTAGTAATTAGATTTCTAATTTATTTTTTGTCATTTACCAACAGTTATTAAATAAAAATGTTTACCTTTCCATTTGCTAAATATCCTCCATTCTTTTTCAAAATATTTTCAAACTTAGACATGTATAATGGAATTGTCTCATTAATAATGGTTTCCCTCAGTTTTTCTTTCTCATTTGGGCTTTCCGTTCTCCAGTATCTTGAAATGTCTAAAACAGAATAAACTTGTTAATAAAAAAAAAAAAAATATATATATATATATATATATAAATTAAAATATAATAAACATTAGTGATTAACCTGCAACTAGGTCTCCGTAAGCTCCAACAACCATATCAATTTCCAAATTTTCCTCAGCATTTTTTCCAGCCAAACCAGCCTGAGGAGCCAGATATCTTAAAATAGCGATCGTTTGATGAATGACTTTACCATCAATTTCTAAAAATGGAACTTTGCCAAATGGTGTTTCTGTAACAAAATATTATTCTGTAAGAAGAATAAGATTCGATGAAGAAAAAATTATAAACTTTTTATAGTTATTTTCATTTTATCATTGTTAAAGAAGATAATAAGTCTTTTATAATGATGTATCCTCTTTCTCATAATAAGTCTTTTAATTTGAAGAAATAGAGATAAATAAGGTAGGAGTGATTTTGGAGGGTAATGATAATGTAGTTTAGGTTCTATTTACTCTTTAATTATTAAAAATACTTTGATAAATAAAAAAAAAGAGATTATATCTCTTAAATTAAGTTTTTGTAATTTTATTTTGATTATTGAATAAATTAATCAGTTTTTCTTTGTTAATATATTGTATGATATAAAAAAAGAGCACCCTTTTAAACACATTTCAACTTATTTTTATTTACAATATATCATTTATCTTAATTTAATGTTGTTTTATATATATATTATATATATATATATATATATATATATATATATATATATTGTTTATTTATTATAAATTAATTTTTGATATAATTCCATCAATCAATTTATTTTTATTTCTTATGTAATTTATTCATCTTGGATTGGAACGTTCTAATAAAAGTCTCATCACTTACTCTTCTTGAGTTGCGGCCATTCTTCTTGAGAAATGCGAATGTCTTCAAATTCTTTTCCCATATAAGACAATATAAGCCTTATAGGTTCCCCTAATCCCCTAATGTCGAAATACGCTAATTTATATTCTGGCATTTTCCTGAAATATTACAAAAAAATAATTTCTAATATAACGAAAACTGAAAAAATATAGAAATGTTATGTAGAATTTTTTTTAGTTTTTGAAAACAAAAATAGGCCTAGATAGATAAAAATAATCTGAAATATGAAGTATGGGCAATGGTTGAATGTTAGTTTAACAAAAACAATTATTTGGTTGGGGATTAGTCCAGGTAAATCAAACTATATTATTAGTAAATTGTAATATTACTATATTACAGGTAAATTGTCTACAATATTATTTCCAATCATAAGTCCTCTGTATATCATTTTCAGCAGCATGTCTTCTATATTAACTTTATATTTCTTTATATTTTCTTATTAAAGAACAATAAAATAATTTTGAAATAATTCTAGAACAACCATTTGGTGCACTATATATTTTTGATTTGTCAAACCCACAATTATTTCAGCCCAGCTCATATCTTTACCCCATTGAGTAAATAATTCTACTGCTAGGTATTGCTGTCCCTACACAACTCAATTATTTACTCTTATAGTTATAATATCGATATATATATATATATATATATATATATATATATATATATATATATATATATATATATATATATAGTTCTTTTTATTTATATATATTTTTAATCTTATAAACATTTTTTTAAATGTTTACTTTGGTACTGTGTTCTTCATAATAAATTTTAATGTAGGAAATAAAGTTTCTATATAAATTTATTTTTTATGGTAATTTCTGTTAAAAAAAAAAAAAAACTTTCACAGATATACACGGCACACTTGATTTTAGATTTCAACGTTTCCAGTTTTATTTTCATAGAAAAAATATATTTATAATTAGTAAATGGTTGACTGTCGTGGATAATGAAGAGAAGAATAGTTGGGGTGATCAGTCAAAATAGAAGGCAAAAATAAATGATAATATTATAATATAATGTACAATTATAAAAATAAATATTATAATTTATTTTTGCCTTCTTTTTTGACTGATCATCCCAACTATTCTTCTCTTCAAAAAATATATTTAACTGAACTAAAATGAAATTTTAATTTTATACAATTAATCAAACACAATTTCAAAACATTGCACCTTTCTTTATTAAGCATTGGTACTAAAATTTATATAAATTAACAACAGTAATTTAAATTTTGACTAAAAATTTACCTTTACAATATATTTCATACATTGGTAAGTGAAAGTAAAAACAGTAAGTTAACTAAAAATGGAATTGTTTTAAAATCTAGTCTATTAATGATTTATCATAAATAATAATTAATTTACCTTTACAATATATTTCATACATTGGTAAGTGAAAGTAAAAACAGTAAGTTAACTAAAAATGGAATTGTTTTAAAATCTAGTCTATTAATGATTTATCATAAATAATAATTCGTAAAATGTTAGATGATAAAATTTAATAATTTACTGATGTCTACTTACTCTTTTTAATATTGATACTGTGACAAGTTCCACTATCTGCAGACTGCAACTGTCGTAATTTAGAATGCTCAGGCTTGAGTGATAAATAAGGCTCATTAATGTACAATTATATAAGGTTCTCCCCTCCTTTCCTCAATATATTGAATGAGTCTAATCATTGTTAATTTATTTATAATGTTCAATCACCCAATTACCTGCTCCCTCATTGCTGGAGTCGAATGAATAGAATAATTAAATATTCAATTATGAGACTGAAGTCCTATAACAATATTAACATTGTTTAGGCTTTATCTATAATAGTCTGATTAGATGTAAACAAAAGAGTACTTGCCAATTACCTGTTAATATTGATTGTTATTACAATAATAAATATTGCCAACATTGATGCAATTATTTGATTATGAAGAAATAAGAGAGGAAAAACAAGAACCTGTTCGATATTTTTGAGGAATGGAATAACACAGCCTTAATAATATTAAAGGGTAGTTATGGATTATATTGAAAATTTTAGAAACATGATTATTCTTGAGATGGTGATTTAAGTTGGATTTTTTTTTTAATTTTGAGTGGAAATGCATAGGTCAATTATTGAAGTAAATTAGTGGACAATATGGTAGGGAATTAAGAAGGTACATTTTGTTTTTCCAGCAATCAGCATCAATTCAATGATTACTGCCCATATGCTGATACTTTCAATATTTTTCGTGACTTTCGGTAGGATGGAAAGATTAATAAATTTGGAATATAAGAGATATTGCGAGGGGTAATTGGAATATGGTTAATATAAATATAGAAAAAAATTGGTGGGGGATGAGGAACATTTGAAAAGTCAACTAGGATTGAAGGTTTCAGATAATTTTTATCAAAGATGATTGGATAGAATATTTAGATTGAAAAAGTTTTGTTTTAGAAGGTTAAGCTGAGAGTGGACTAATCTTTGCAGAGGCTTGGAAGTTGAAGGAATACAGGAACTTCATTCATCTCATCTTCAGGATCTAATATTACAAGAAATATATTGTATACTTATATATGTTATTGGGTGAAAATATTTTTTAGTATCAGTTATCTTATATTTATCCTCCCCATTGTGATTTTTCTATTGAATTTTGAAATTTTTACCTCTTTAGGAAAGCTGAAATAAATAACATTACATTTATTATACTCCTCTGATTTTTAATTTTTTTTTTTATTAATATTATTTTGAATAAAATAAAGGTTTGTCTGTACATTGAATATAATCAACCTGTTTCATGATATCTTTCCGTTTCATACATTATAGACACCAAATCCACTTTTAAAAAAATTGTTGTCTGTCTGTATGTCCGCACTGTCCAACGAAATTTTGTCAGGGGTAAGCTCAGCAATGGCTAATGGTAGACTTTTGAAATTTTGAGATTATATTTAGGTTTGCTTGACTTAAAACATAGGTTTTAAATGAAAACAAAATATTGAGTAGAACCAAAGTTATGAATTCTTGAGTAATTTGGCCATAAAACTTTAAGACTTGAAATGTGTTCATCTTCTAATTATTTAATTGAATGAGCAAATATAAACTTTAAAGATCTTCCAAACCACAAAAAGTAAAAAAAAAGTTAATTTAGATTCTGGCATTTTCCTAAAATATGAAAAATTAATTTCTAAAAATATAAATATTTAAAAACAAAAAATGAAGGAATATTTACTGTTTATGAGTAGACTGGAATTTTATTTAGTATGAACAGCTGAAATATGTAGCAAAAAATGTAAAAATATTGAGCCCGCTAATCTCCTCATTTTCACAAGCCAAGAATTGTAGTAAAAAAAAAAATTCTTTTCAATGTTGAGGACCTTGATGATAAAATAAATGGCGAAACTTATAAAAAAAAAAAAAAATCATTTTTACTTTCACTTACCTATACATGAAATATATAGTAAGGAAAAGTATTGTGATCATGAAAAATGTTCTACCAGAGTTTTAAATGAAAATACAAGGTTTGAGGTCTCCTGAGTACAAATAACCAAGTCTCACAAAATGGTCTGTGTGTGTATGTATATGAACAATCTAGCTCAAAGTAAAAATTAAGGAACCAGAAGTGGCACTTTATATCATCAATTTACAATAAAGTGGTTTTTAATATAAGGTAGGTCCTACTCTCATTTATGTTCTGTAACAGAGCTTAAATGACGAATTATATATTTTTTTTCTCTAAAGTACCATCAATTTTGTTTATTTAAAATAATTAACCATTTAACATTGTAACTACTAATAAAAAATAGATAAATACAAATTATGAATTGATTTGATCACTAATTAAAGGACAGAGTCCACTCTATATCCTCCTTTTTGGCTCTGTCAAATGCCTTTTCAAGATCCACGAAGCTGACAGAAAGTTCTTTTCCTTTCTCGATGGACTTCTCTATGACCTGCCTCAAAGTGAAACTCAGGTCTTGTGTACTCCTCGACACAACGACACGATACTGGCTGTTAGGAGTCTCTATTGAAAGACCAGAAATATAAGAACTGGCAATCACACATCCAAGGAGTTTGAAACGACGCAGGGAATATGGCAGGGGTTCAGCCTAAATCCCCTACTTTTCGTACAGGTGCTGGATCAAGCGTTGAAGAGAGCTAAACTCAGACTGCGGCATTTTCAGCTGGAATATAGGAATCTACAGCCTATTTTCTACAGAGTCCTAGCTTCTGCCGATGACCTAGTTACATTTTCTGCAGATGACTGGAACCTACAATACAACATAAATATCATAGGTAGACGTCCCCGCCGAGTTATGAGAATATTCAGGTTGAAAGGACAGACCCTGGAACAGGTGCAGGATTTCAAATATCTAGGTGCATGCATCAACGAAAGTGGGTGTATCGATGGAGATGTGTCACAAAGGGAGCAGATAGAAAAATGTTCTACTCAATCCGGAAAGGTTTCTTCAACAAAAGAGAAATGACGAAGAAAACAAAGATATCCGTCTACAAGTCAATGTTCCTGCCCATCCTCTCTTACTCCTCCGATTCATGGACTCTTACTTCAAAACACATGGGGCAGATCCAGACAATGGAGATGAGGTACTTAAGAAAGGTTGAAGGAAAGACCAGGAGAGATAGGATCCGTAACACGACAATAAGATCAAACCTCGAGGTACAGCCGGTAGAAAGCACTCTAGAAGAGAATAAGCTTTGATGGTTCGGGCACCTCCTAAGAATGAACATGGAAAGAACGGCCAAGATAATGTATGAGACGAGAGTGGGCAGTAGAAGACCAGGGATCACCTGAGAAGAAGGCGTGCGGGAGGCGTTCAGGAAGTGAGGGCTGGACTGGAGCAGGAGGAGAGAGCTGGTATAGGAGGGGGACACATGGGTCAAGCTCTATAGAGCACATCCCCACACTGTGCAAGGGGCGAGAGGGAAAGGACTGCCAAAAATATTAATATAAACCTTTAAATATATAATTCCTTAAAATAAAACTTTCCAGCTATGAACATGTGGAATAATCGAAAATTTTACGAAAATAACGCTAATGGAACAAAAATAAACGATGGAATAACACAGCTTACGCGAGGAACGAAAAATAAAGGAATAACTTAGGTCAGACCAGATAAGAAGGAAGGTTATATGATGTAAGATTGAATAACAGGGAGGTTTCGACCCGACCGGCTATTTAAGGAGTGCTATTTAATACTAAAAAATATATATAATCAGAAATTAGTTAAAACTTTATAAATGTAAAGTAAAGGTAATAACTTAGCAATCAATAAAACAATTAGTAATTGCATGAATAATTTTATAATCATTTCACTCAAAGCAATGGATATTCAAAATGCGTTTCATTCATAAGATACAGAACCTTTGGGGAAAATCAAACAGAAATTATAGAAAAATATAATATATATGAAATAAAAAACTGACTAGAGAAAATCACAACACCATAAAATCTACTTTCATTAGGTGATAGGTTTGATTTAAATTCGGTAATGATAAATGAAAATCTTAGGTTTGATTTAAATCATGTGGGTCCGTGGAGTAATATAAGTAAACCGGTATATCAATAAAGATATGAATAGTTTACTCAAGAGAATGAAAGTGTACACAATTTAATGAACATAAACTATACCTTTTTCAATTAGAAAATAGATTGATGACAATATTTACCTAAATATACTACTTGAGAATAAACCTAGGGCGGGAAACACTAAATTAAAAGAAATACAACACAAAAGGAGTGAGTACTTGAGTTATTGTGGTTAGTCTATATCGATATATTTCTATGTTTTACGAATCTAACGAAAAACGGAATTCGAAAATATCGTTATAAGTAATAAGTAACTATGTCATAAGGAAAATATTAAATTTTAGCAATATCACACCTAACTCTGAGCCAGGAAGTTATTTTTACGAAGTATGTATTCAGATCTTTAAATAAATACTTATAATTAAGTAGATTATTTAATGTTTAATTTGATACTATTAAACATCAAATATCTTAAATACATCTAACCATTTAAATCAATTTTATGAAATGAAACTTTTGATATAGTTATTCATTTGATATACTAAGTTTTATTTATTTTTTTAAAATTATCTATAGTTCTCTCCATTAAATTGTAACGTTATTAATGTTATCTTTTACCTATTACTATCTTAGATTTATATAATGTTCAGTCAATTAAAAATCAATATACTATGAAATGATTGTTTATTTACACTTTAATTTTTTTTTTTTTTTATAATTTTGATAATTTGTTTTTACAAATAGGTTTTATTTAAAAAACTGATTCTGGTCTCTTTTTGACCCATTCTTTTATTCCAGGAAGAGAGTAAACTTTTTCAGTCAGTTCTTTCCAGAAGGGATAGTTCTCAGTTAAATCATGACCAACCAAACCAGGTAGAGATGAACTGTGGCCCACAACTAATAAGTCAGCCCATGAGAGCTAAAAAAAAAAAAATCATAATTATTATAATTATATGTTAGCCTATAGAATATGAAAATAATTTCATAATTCCCATACACAAGAAATGCAGAATGCTTCAACTGTAGACCCATATGCCTATTACCACTTGTTTATAAACTATATATACCCATCCTTGAAATTAAAATGAGATCTCTAGTAGAGCCGTCCATAGGAGAGGAGTGAGTGTGTTTGTGACCAAGACAACAAACACAGGATCACTTTGTCTCCCTCAGAAAAAAATTCTAGGATCGGGATAGAAATGTTTACCTTGCTTTTCTTGACCTTTGAGCAGCATTTGACTTTGTTCCAAGGAGCAAAATATGGGAGGCTTTATATCCATGTACCAAGACCCAAAAGGAATTTTCTTGCAAAATGTAAAACTTTGCAAATGTGGAATTTTAGGAAGATCAAACAAGGTACCAGTCTATGCACTATTCATACTATCTATTTATAAATAGCAACAATCTGCAAAAGGCAAAGCACTCTATAGAAAAAGGATAGTTATCATTAATGGGAACAACATAATCCAAGGGTGCAGGAATATGTTCAGATGTGCTGTAACAGAGAAGAAATGAAAGTAGTCACAGTTTAAGCTACTTCATAACAGTTATGGAATGGTCTTGCAAAGTGGATTTAGCAATCTTATATAGAATAAGTAACAAAAACTAAGTCTAATACACTGAAGTGCAATGCTGTTATTGAGAAGAAAGAGGAGGACAGAAATGTTAAATTTCATGTCTTTTAAGTCAGTGTACTTGCCTCTACTCTTATATGGGGCTTAGAGATGTATATTGGCATATAAACGAGAGAACAGAGTGAAAACAGCAGAAATGAGGTTTATCCAAAGGATTTCTGGGAAAGCAATTCTGTATCCTCAATGAGAGGATCATGGAGTAACTAGGAGTCCTATTAGTGAATGATGTCCTAGAGGCCTACGAGCCGAAGTGGTTTGGCCATGTCATCAGGAGGGAGAAACAGTGAGATCCACTGAAGACTATAAATTATGCCACTGAAGGTAGAAGACCTCGAGTCTGATGAGTGTCATACTTAGATAAGGTTGATCATTTGTACTGAAGAAGATAAAAAATCTCTACCAAACCAGGAACTTGACAAGAAATTCAGAATAGTGAGAATACTGGTAAGACACTCCCCAAAGCTGATTGTCACCACAGGATCGAGTAAAAGAAGAAGCTTAAAATATAATGATAATTATAATGTGTAATATTATAATATAATGTGTTTTATATCTTAACAGGTATTTCTTAGATCTTAAACTTATTGGTTAATGATTGAATTAAAATTGTTACCTTTCCGTTTGCCATATATCCTCCATTTTTTTTCAAAACAGCTTCAAACTTTGACATGTAGAATGGAATTGTTTCTTTAATTAAGGTTTCCTTCAATTTTTCTTTCTCACTAGGGTTTTCTGTTCGCATGAATCTTCCAACCTCTGAAAAGGCACAAACGTTTTTATACATACATAAAAAACTATTAATCTGTTAAGCTGATGGCAATAAACTAATTTTGGTTTACAAACTATTTCTACATTTTAATTATAAAGCTTTAAAAATTCCTTGCCTTTTTAAATTTGATTAATATTAACAAAAAATACATATATAAATAATATATATTATAAACATTAGTAATAACCTGCAGCTAGGTCTCCATAGGCTCCAACAATCATATCAATTTCTACATCTTCTTCGGCGTTCTTTCCGGACAAACCAGCCTGAGATGCCAAATATTTTAAAATGGCTAATGATTGATGAAGTACTTTTCCATCAATTTCTAAAATTGGAAGTTTGCCGAATGGTGCTTCTGTAATCAGTAATTTTTTTTTTTAGTTGGTTCTGTTACAAATATGTGGTGAAATGACACAAGAACTATAAAGTTTTGTAACAATTTTATTACTTATTTTTCTATAGCGATTTTACAGGAGTTAGTATAGATAAAGGAGATAAAAAGTCTTTCAATTTGTAGTATTAGAGATAAACAAAGAAAGCTCTAGGTGTTTTAAGAGTACAACCAAGATTGTTTATTTTAAGAACTACTCATTTCTAATTGTTAAAAATATTTTTAAATTTTAAGATAAAATGAAGGAAAACAACAAGAAAAAGAAAGGTTATATAATGTATTTAATCCGATTTAGGTAAATTTTTTTTTGAGTTACAAATAAATTAGCTTAATTCACGATTGCATAATAATAAAAAAAAATATTAGTATGCTCGATTTTCATAATAATATATTGATAATTTAAAACTTTTGGTATTGGAAAAATATTTTATAACTTGTATCTGATTATTTTTCTTCAATTTTTTGTCTTATTTTAAAAATAAAAACTCATTTAAATATATATTCATGTAATTTATCAATTTAAACTGTTATTAATAAATAAATTTAAATTATTGTATTGTTTATTTATTATTGATTATTAATTTATTTTTGTTACTAGAGTAGTTAATGTATTTTTATTCCTTATAAATGAGACAGCTGTTTATTACTTACTTCCCTTCAATTGTGGCCATTCTTCAAAAGAAACACGATTGTCTTGAAATTCTTTTCCCATATAAGACAATATAAACCTTATAGGTTCCCCAAAACCTTTGACATTAAAATAGGTTAATTTATATTCTGGCATTTTCCTGAAACATTATAAGATATTAATTAATTTTGAGGGTAGAGACAGGATTTTTAAGTAATAAAAACTGCTGAAACATCACTGTTCCAGTTCAATGATATTATATCTCAAAAAAGGTTAATATTAAAATGTGCTGGTATTCTTCACAGTAAGGGCAATATCTGTACAGTTTAACACTTTAATATCTCAAAGTAATTTTTTACTTAGATTTATATCACAAGAGTTTAATTGTATATCTTATAAATGACTGTTTTTGAGGTGTAACACTTTTGAACTGAGGCACCAGTATAGAGCAAAAAGTATTAAAATATTGTACATATTTATTTAAACACACAACGAAGTTATCTAAATACACTATATATATTAATGTGACTTAAAAAGTTTTATATCACTTATATTGAAATAAATAATAATTTAAATTTTTTTTTTCAAAATTTGATGTATAAGAAATAATGAGTCATTTGAGTAATGAAGAAAAAAATATTTTAAAAATTTTAATGCTTATCAAATAAGCATATCAGTTTAGAAAATTAATTAAAAAAGTAGTTTTGAATATGTAAAAACAATCTGAAATTTCAGTGATGGGCGATTGTTGACTGTGGTCTAAAGGAAAATGTTAATTTAATTGGATCAGTCTAAATAATAAACAGGTAAACTAAATAATAATTATAAAACTATAAACTTAATGAACATTTTCAATGTTGATAAAATTCAATAGAAAAAAAAATTAACACAAAGTAATGTTTTATGATGTTTATTGGAGAGAATGTTCTTTTATATACTCCAAATAAAACAGGAAGGGGTGGGTTATCTCCAAGGTTACCAACCTATTCTAGCTAGGATATGAAGATCAAAATTCATTCCATGAGCCTGTCACAAAATTATTCACACTCCTGGACTGTATTTGGATCAGTGCCAATTCTTACTTCCTTATGTTATAGGTAATAGATACAAATATTTTTCTCATTAATTATTTTCATTTTTAAAATTGAAAAAGCAACTTTTCTGGTGTTCAATTAATTTTAATTAAAATATTTTTTCAGAATAAAAATTGTTCTTATAAAATTATAGAAAGCATTTATCTATAAACTTTCAAAATAAAAATGGGTTTTATTGCAATCAAATTTATTAATTTATTTACATTGCTGCAAAAAATATGATCAATAGGTAATAATAGGTATACAAGTAGGTAAATTGAAAATGGAATTTTTCTAATTAGGAGTCTCTGTTTATGTTTGTTTTTTTTAAAGTAATTTAATAATTTTTTTTTTATAATTTATAAGGTTGATATAATAAAGTTTTAGTAGTACCAATGGACACTTACTTTTTGGGATAGTGATCTGTGAACCTTCAGTGAAGAATTGAACTGTGGCAACCTTGAATGCTCAAGCTTGAGTGCTAAAAGATGCTCTTTGATGTACAATTATATAAGCTTCCCCCTCCCCTTCTCTACTAAGTGAATGGGCCTAATCATCGTTTCTTTACTAATAATGCTCAACCGTCCCCTCTCTGATACCTCACTGCTGGAGTTGCTGTATCACTCTAGATGCTCTCATGATGAGATACTAGTTTTTCAAGTTGTTTAATAGATTGTCATTGGTGTCATTAAATATTATCATTTTTAACAGTTTATCTGTTATTTTAATTATAAATTTGTTTTGCCTTTCTTGGCGTATAGTTTCAAGATATTATTTGATAAGCGTAAGATTTTAGCTTACACTTAAAAATTACTAAAACCGAATTGTGTACAATGAAATGAATTACAAAATATAATTGATATTTAGTAAAGATCAATTATATTATGAAGTAAAAACATACATTTTATTGTTAACAAAAATTACAAAAATAAAATTAACTCAAAAGAATGTTTTACCATGTTATAGATAATTTATAAAATTATCCCAAAAGAAAATCTCAATTAACCTAAAAAATAAAATATGACAATATATTAAATTTATATTTATTATTTATTCATGTATATAACATGTACATAATCTACAAGATATGGCACTACTAACTATAAATTATTAAAAACGATATTTGATAGTGCAGCTTTCCAATTTAATTTCACTATTTAATTAAACATTAGATAAAACTAACAGAATGTGATAGCCAACCACTTTGGGACTACAATTTCAGACTGCCGAATGTTGTGGGTTCGATTCATGTCTGATTCCCACTTCGGCCAGTTAATATTCATTTCTCAGTGGTCCCAAAATATGAATTTTGAGATATGAATTGAGCGAGTAGTGATTAAGGGTTAACAAAAAGGACCACAAGGATCATTTGCCGATCTAGATTCCACTACTAATACTAGTAAACAACATTAAAGACTTATTTTTTTCAGTTTGATCTTCAATATGTCCACTACTGGAGTAATGTTCACCATTACTATATTTACCCAGATTGTAAACAAGATAGGAAAAGAAAAAGTTATGTATTCATTTTTATGTATATATTTACACCAAATATGTATTGTTAGTTCATATTTAATAAGTAAGAGCAAATAAGCTTTGAAAAAGTATGAAAATAAAGTAATATTCTTGCTAGTGATGAATCTTTAAAAATGATCAAAACCGGTGTGATCATATTACAGGTTCGCATTGGTGAATGATTATTTTCAAATTTAAATGTTCCTAGCAGGTCTAAAAATAGTGGAAACCGGATGAAAATAGTTTTCCTCTTGAAGTCGTTTGTTTATGTAAGATATTTAGATCCTCCAATCCAGTTTACATAGCGATTTCTGACACTGTTCAAAAGGTTTTCAGATGTATACAGATATTCAAAATTTTCTGGTTGTTTCTATTATATATATTTACAGTTTTATAATAAATTTTGTAGATTTTATTTGGCATTTAATTCTTTGGATTTGATCCCCTCATTAATGTTCAATCAAAAGAGAGAGAGAATAAAAACACACTTGTAATAAGTGGATATAGACTCTTTTTTTCTACAGGAATCTCCCTGAATGGACTTTGCCCTGTACATTTATTTACCTTTCTAGTTTCTTTTGCAAGCCTAGATATAGTGCAGTTTTCAAAGGGTTCCTTTGGTTGGAGAAAATCAGTTTCTCGAATATTCAATATTCAGAATCATTTATTAATATGAACAATTATACAACTTTATTTTAATAAAAACATATTTTTTATATCCTCACAAGATAATCCTGTGATATTTATTACTATTTTTAGTTTTATACAATGTATAAATGCGTTTACTATATTGACAATTTTAATATCCAGACTATGACTGGTGATTGATCCAAAAAATCATGTTTAATAATTGTTAATATAAATTAGTAACAGACTAACCAAGAGACACAGAATTTAATAATTATGTTTTATTAAAATATATAATCTCACTTTTTCATATTTCAATAAATAAATAGGGAAAAAAATTCACTTTGGTAAACTCGCAACGAGAAATACATACTGAAGTCTATACTTTCACCATTGTGATTAATATGCATGATAAAAAAAAAATAAATAGTGTTCTCAAATATTTATTTTACATTCTTATTTTGATATTGTTCTTTTGATGTATATATCTTTTGATATTTTTTCATATTTATTTATATTTTTGTTATTCATATATTGGTCTCGGGTCTCTTTTGGACCCATTCCTTGATTCCTGGAAGAGAATGAACCTTTTCCACTAATTCTTTGAAGGCTGGATATTTCTCTTCTAAATCAATCCCAATCAAACCAGGTAATGAAGAACTATAGCCTACAACATATATCTCAGCCCATGAGAGCTGAAAAAAAAAAATAGTGAAAACCTTTATGGAAAAAAGTAATATATTAATTTTTACTCTTTAGTATTTTATTATAAGATAAAAATAAAATAAAATAAAAATTGTGACTATTTCATGTTGAACTGATTGTATTATGTTTTCCGTTATCAGTGATGTTTTCTTGTTATTTGTGAATGAGAAACTTTTACAGAATTCCTGAACTACCAGTTTTTAAATACAGAATGAAAAATAATTGAATAAAAAATGAAAAAAGACTGAACATGAAAATTTAATAATTTTCAAAATTAAAAATCTTGTTTTATCATTAAAAGTTATTTACTACCAGTGATACTATAAAATATCTTTAAAATTATTAAAAAAATTTAAATTCAATATTGAATAATCTGAGTCTTGGTATCCTTAACACTCCAATAATCAGTACTGGCAAACCTGCCAATGGGAGTTTTCTTAGCTCATACACTATGCACATGCTCTGCGAATAATTTTTTTTCAACAATCTTTCACCTGCTTTTATAAAAACAGAATGACAAGAAGCAATAAAAAAGACCTTCCAAAATAACTTGATTTTTTAAAATAAATTGATTTTTATGCATAAAAATTCAATGTTTTGAAGTGCTTGTTTATATATCATTATATTACTTATCCTATCTTACAATTTGTAGATAATATTATACATATATATTTCAAGCCAATTTTGGACTTATAAATATGATTTATTCTTTAAAAAAATAATTCATTTTGAATGGGCCTTTACAGCCAGGAATAAGATTGTTTGTCAGTAATTATTCATCTATTAACTTACTTTTCCATTTGCCAAATATCCTCCATTACTTTTCATAAGATTTTCAAGCCTTTTCATATAAAATGGAATTGTCTCATTGATCAGGATTTCCTTCAGTTTTTCTTTCACACTTGGTACATCCATTTTGAAGCATCTCGAAACATCTGTGATGGAATGAATTTTTTAATGTTATTCACCAATCTGTTGAATTCATTATAACACTAGAATTTGCTTAATAGAGACAAATGTACTAAATCAAATACTTTGATTGAAATGGAATAAAAATTGATTACAAATGTCAATTTTTACGAATTTTGTAAAAATTAAATTTATCTATTTCTATCAAAAGCCGTTTCATCAACTACACAAATTTTTTTGTGGGGAGCAACCGAACTCATCTTATGATACCTTTGTTTTTCTTTCTACTACATGTTTATTAAAAAATAATATATAGGCTGCAAATTTAATTATGA